TAACGGAGAGACAGCGATGCCTGGAGGCGCGAGAGGGGCGCCTCGGAGGCCCGAGGAGGTGGGGGGCGGCGGCGTGGGGTTCGGGGTCCCCGACCTGGCACCGCCCTCTCGGTCTCGGAGGCGTCCGGGAGGAGAGCCCCGCCCGCGCCGTTTCCTTTCCACGCGGTCCTCGCTTCGCATCCAGGTGGGGCGAGTAGATGATGGGGCAGGAGATTAAGGAGCAGGCGCTACACCCTGCCCCCAACTTCAGGCTGTTTCTCTCCCAGGTCTTTCCCAGGGCCATCCTCCCTGGGGCTGCCACCCTGAGCGTGCTCTCCGTCTAACAAATTCAACTCCGGTTCGACTTTTGCCACCTGCCCTTCCCCACACCCCACAAGATGTTTCAGCGGGAGAGTGGGCTGCCCACCTGCTAGGGGCCGAGGACGAATCCCGCCCCCCCGTGTCCCCCACCCCGCGATGGAACGGCTGATGCTGTGTCATCCACGTCGCCCTCCAAGGCATCAGGGAAGCCACACGCTATATCTCTTTCTCTCAGAGGGCTCCAGTTTCAACTCTGAAAAGCAGGGCCCTCCTCCGCGCCGCTCTCCATCTCCCTGGCTCCTGCCACCAGGCTTTGCCAGCAGCTGCCTTGCCCCCAAGTTATCACGGAGCCCAGGGAAACCAGGCCTGGGCTGTGCTTCCTCCATAAAGCAGCTGACAGGTTTCCAACTGTTAATACATTTACTACTGAGTTTCTGAAAGGGGCTTGTCCCCGGCCTTTGGAAACATCTCCAGAAAGATAAAGATGATTGTAATTGTTGAAAATAAACAGCCCCTCCACCCCCGAAATTTTAAAGACGAATGTGCAGAGAATGCTAGTGTAAAATTATGCATTTGAGACTGGTTAGGCAAGATGATGTTATAGAGGCAGAAAGCTGGCTAGTTTCTATTTACTATGACCTTTGACCCTAGCTCCACCACACCAGCTCTGAGAAGGCTTCAACACGGCAGAAAGCTGAAAGCCCAATCGTGGGCCTTTAATTTGAGGCCTTCCACTGAACTTTAGATTTCAGGGCTACAGACAGAGGTATCTGTCTGAGGAGAGGTCCTGGCCAGAAAACTCTGTAAAACCAAGGGAAAAGCAATTGGATCATTAGTTCTGCCTGGAGATAAGTAAGCTAAACCACTGCCCAAGAGGGAACTGATTCAGCTGGCTGTTTCTCTGACTTCCAGTCGTCAAAATTAAGTTTTCATAACCTGTTATGTTTCCCAGAGTCTACTGTTTACTGAGGAAAACTATCCGGAGAAATTTTAGCAGTTGTATTTTTCTGAGCCTCCCCCACCCCCACCCCTGTCCCCAAGTGTAAAATCAAATGCTTTTTTGAAGACAAGCCTGTCATGGAGGAAATGAGCAGGTATCTAAACCGAAGTAATAGGTCACGCAGTCATAGAGTTGATATCTTGTGCTTCCAAGTTGTAAGGTGTTCCAGTGAGAGGGCAAAGGGAGGGCCCTGTGGGGCCTACTTTAGTTAGTCCCCCTGCCTCGGATTCAGGAATTAGCCTTTCCTGATCTCCACATTCAGGGATAAATTTTGAGTGGGGAAAATAAAGTTGGAATATTACTCATCATTTAGTTATTCTATAAAATACACTTAAACCTACAAAGTTACATGAATTTTTTCTTTTTGAGTTGGAGTCTTACTGTGTCACCCAGGCTGGAGTGCAGTGGCATGCTTACGGCCACCATAGCCTCGACCTGCTGAGCTCAGGTGATCCTTATGCCTTAGCCTCCCAAAGAGTTGGAATTACAGGCACGCACCACCACACCCAGCTAATTTTTTGATTTATTGTGAAGATGAGGTTTCTCCAAGTTGTGCAGATTGGTCTCGAACCTGTGGGGTCTCGAACCTGTGGGCTCAGGCAACCTTCTCACCTCGACCTACTAAAGTGCTGGAATTATAGGCGCGAGCCACCATGCCTGGCCAAGCTACATGAATTTTTATGACAAATCACTGCCTTTATAAGGTCAACTAGAAAATACTGGCAATGAAAAGAGTCATTTTTTAAAAAATTGAATGCCATTGATACTGGATCCTGTGTTCTCACTTCTGACTAATAAACTTGGAAGTCAAATCACCTGTTCAAAGGTTTATGTGTTCATGTTTCATATGAATATCATTTATCTAACAAATATTTATTGAACATCTAATAAGTAAAAAGAGCCATGCATTTAAAACCACATTGAGATGCCACTTCACACCCACCAGGATGGCTATAATAAAAAAGATAGACAATAAGTGCTGAGGAGGGTGTGGAGAAACTGGAACCCACATACATTGCTGGTGGGAATGTAAAATGATACAGCCACTTTGAGAAATAGTTTATCAGTTAATCAGAATGTTAAACCTAGAGTTATCATATGACCAGGCAATTCCACTCCTAAATACATATACAAGGAATGAAAACATATGTACACACAAAACTTGTACTCAAATGCTCATAGAAGTACTATTCATAATAGCCAAAAAGTAGAAACCACCCAAATATCCATCAACTGATGATGGATAAATGAAATGTGGTATGTCCATACATGGACTATTACTCAGCCATAAAAAGGAATGAAGGATCGAGACATGCTACAACATGAATGAACCTTGAAGACATTATGCTAGGTGAAATAAACCAGACCCAAAAGGACAAATAACGAATTATTCCATTTATAAATATATATAATATATATATGAAATAATTTCCAGAATAGACAAATCTGATTAATGGTTGCCTAGGGCTGAGGATTTGGGAAGAAATGGAGAATCAACTGCTAATGTGTATGGGGTTTCTTTTGAGGATAATAAAAATGTTCTGAAATTGAGGTCAGGCTCAGTGGCTCACACCTGTAATCCCGGCCCTTTGGGAGGCCGAGATGGCAGGAATGCTTGAACCTAACAATTCAAGGCCACCTTAGGCAATATAGTGAGAGCTCGTCTCTACAAAAATTATCTGGGCACTGTGGTATGTGCCAGTAGTCCCAACTACTCAGGAGGCTGAGGTAGAAGGATTGCCTGAGCCCAGGAGGTTGAGGCTGCAGTGAGCCATGGTAGTGCCACTGCACTCCAGCCTGGGGGACAGAGTGAGACCCCAACTCAAAAAAAAAAATGTTCTAAAATCGATTGTGATTGTGGTGCACAACTGTAAAAATACTTTTAAAAAACAATGAATTGTACACTTAAAAAAACTAGAGACAAAGTCTCACTCTGTTGTCCAGGCTGGAGTGCCATGGTGTGATGACAGCTGACTGCAGTCTCAAACTTTTGGACTCAAGCAATCCTCCCGTCTCAGCCTCCCAACTAGTTGGGATTACAGGCAGGTATCATCATGCTTGGCTAATTTATATATATACATATATTTTTTTTAATGTATTCTTTTTAGTTGGGTCTCACTTTGTCACCCAGGCTGAACTGTGTCATCCAGGCTGGAAAAGTGTGGCATGATCACGGCTCACAACAGCCTCAACTTCCTGGGCTCAGGCAATCCTTCCACCTCAATTTCCCAAGTAACTGGGACTACAGGCACGTACCATCACACAAGGCTGATTTTCTTTTTGTTAATTTTTTTACAGACAAGGTCTTGCTATGTTACCTAGGCTGGTCTTGAACCCCTGGGTTCAAGCGATCTTTCTGCCTTGGCCTTCCACAGTGATGGAATTAAAGGCGTGGCCACCGCCCTGGCCAAATAGAATACTTTATGAATGAATTGTATGGTATGTGAGTGATATCTCTAGAAAGCTGATATGTATATACACATACGGAATTGTGCTAGGTTCTATAGTGGCAAAGTGATACAAAGATAGATCATTTATAATCTGCGCCTCAGAAGGGTTTATTATCGAATCTGCATCCATATGAAGTAATCATGAAATGCAAAACAACATATATTGTAATAAACAAAATAGGTACAAAATTCAGGTGTTCGGAGCAAAGAGAGCACTTCTAATTGTGATCAGAGAAAGGTTCATGGAATAGAAAGCAGTGGATTTGGGCATGGAGAATGGCAAAAAATTTAGTAGATGGAGATTAGGATTAAAAACAGCAGATGTAAAGGCACAATTATAGCCATTAAATTATAAATTTGGGGCCGGGCGTGATGGCTCATGCCTGTAATCCCAGCACTTTGGAAGGCTGAAGTGAGAAGATTGCCTGAGCCCACGAGTTCGAGTCTAGCCTGGGCAACATGGTGAGACTTCATCTCTACAATAAATAAAAAAAATAGCTGTGTGTGGGGGCGCATGCCTGTAGTTCCAGCTGCTTGGAAGGTTGAGGCAGAAGGTCACCTGAACTCAGCAGGTCGAGGTTGTGGCGGCCATGAGTGTGTCAGCTGCACTCCAGCCTGGGT